TTTCTTAAAAAGTTGCCTAAATTTATAGTAAAAATCCTGAAGAAAAAGAAAAGAACCACCAGCACAACAGCCAATACTAAATAATCTCAGAACGTAAGAGATCAGATTCATTACTTAGCTTACACTAGATATCTCAAATGAGTTTCTTGTGAAATTTTTAGTAGTGAACGGTAAGTTTTGAAACAAGATTTCCTTAAGTTAAATCTTATAAAGTATTCTTCATCTTGTTGTCTACAAATACTACTTATTTAAAATAAAATATAAATAACATTATATAAAATAAAATAAATTTTAATGAATTGTAACATAAAAATTATTTATTACTTTTTAATTATTAAAAATCTCAAAGCTAGAAGCCCATTACAAAAGTCTAGGAGTACAGGACCGTTCCTAGCAATGCTCAGAAATTAATAAAAAGGATTTTTCATCCTCTTATTAGCTGCTTTTCCAATTTCTGGCTCTGCCATTGATTTGCTACAAGAACTCTGTCAAGACACCTCTATTTATCTTTTCAGAAGCAAATTATGGGAAGGAGAAAATAGCAAAGTACTCTAAAAATCCATTGATGAAAACAGATTGTACAGATATTTAGGAATAGATATATAAGCTATACTTCAAGGTAAATAAAAAGAGGTTTTACTAAGGCAGTAGTTCTGAAAATATATTTTCAAATTTTTTTTTTTTTTAAAGGCAATGGACATATACATTCATTTTCATTTATTTCCTCCTTTATCCTCCCCTCCAAAATCACTAACAGTTAAAAAACAATTTTAAAATAGCCATTATCACTGAAAAGTTAACTAGACAATATCTGAAGAACAAATATAAATTTCTGGAATTCCTCTCTTCTACAATTGCCAGAAGGTCTAAAACAGCGCCTTTATATTACTAATGTAATACAAGAATAATTGCGCATAAAGATTACTACGAGAATCTCAAGCTAAATACATGAGCACGCATAGTAAAATAAGTATATTCTATTATATAAATTGATATGGTTAACTCTTATTTGCCTTGTTATCTCCAAATAATCACTTCAAGATATACAAAGGAATGGCCTTAACATTAAAACAGAAAGGGTTGGTCGTACTTCAAATGCCAGAACAAGTCAGTCAGGCTGCAGAACTGTCTGTAATCAGCATTCTCACAAGTTATTACTACTTACTATTAAACAAGAAATCTGTTCTCTTCTAATGTTGTGGCAGGGAAGCCAGAGGCATCTTTGGGCTGAACAATAATTTTGAGAGCTAAATACTTTTTCTTTTGATAATACGTTGATATTACAAAAGCACTATCAGACACTGACTTCGTGAAACTAATTTTTGATAAATAGAGATTACCATTCCTTGAACCTTAAAATAGGTCGAATAAAACCACCTCTTGGCTCATCGACTTTCACATAAGCTTCCTCCCTGTGTCAACAACAGTTCAGAGCCTCTGGGATGGGGAAAGGCAGAAGAGTAGGAATCAGCTGTCAAAGGCTGCAAATGAAAACATTCATTCCCTCACTGAAGAGCTGAGCTACCACTGAGAAACACTTTCTTAATACTTGATGATCACATCTTACCCTGGGAAACTTTTTGCAATCCACATCGTGAGAAAACACTGAAGCAGCCTACAAAGTTCACCATATAATTAGCTTAATCTGCTGGATTTGTTTCCCAAAAGGACATCAAAGTCAGAAGCAAGGATAAGTGAATGTGAAGGGAGAGGAGAAAAAAAAATTACAAAAGCTTAGTATAAGGAATAATTACTTCACAGTCCTGGATAGGGTAAAACATACAATACCTGTTGCTTTGGTTTCATTCAACAGCATTCAAGTTTTTTCATATATTAATATGAAGGCAAAGAGCTACATATCTAACAAAGAGCTACATAGCTAACATACATCAGACTCTGAAGTGTGCTACGCACAATATTATTCTCGTCTTATTCTGTAAATAACCCCAATACATGTTCACCCACACGACCAGAACCTCCGAGTTTGAAAATAAATTTGAGAAGTATTTGCACAATCACAGTACGTTATCAACGCCAGCAGAACACAATTTACAGGAATTCTGCTAACTACCATACCTTTAGAGCACATGAATAGGCCTTTTCTCCCACATTAATGGACTTCGGATCATCATCATCCAGGTTTTCCCAAATCCTAACATCTCCATCACTGCCACACGTTACAATGTAGCTGTTCAAAGATACAGAATTTGTTAACATATGCCTATGGAAAGCACAACCAGTGTGATTTTCAACCCCCAAATGAAAACATTACTATTTTTTAACTGAAACATAATATACACTATGTAATTCACTGAATGCCGACATTAAAAAAAAAACAAACTTGTTAAACATGGGAAAAAAATACTTGAAAATTTATATGAAAACCAATCTGGTGGCATAACACAGTAACTGAGTCTCTGAAAACTAGCTAGGCCTGGCACTCATCTAAATTGACCCTTAAATATTATCAGCTAATCCACTTTTCTCCAGGATCTAGAGGGAATTTTTCAAAGGATTTAATTAGTACTAATTTCTCTAAGAACTGGGCATTTAATTGCTTTTTAAGCCTTTGAAAATTCACCTTACAGTTAATTACAAAGTTGAGGGCAAACCTAAGAGTCTTAGCACATACTTGACCGAAGTTTAGAAAGCTTAACATATTCCAGAATATGTTAAGAACCCCCACAAAATGGTCAGTTCAGAATTCAACTGTCTAGTCTGCTGGAGCTAACTTTCACAATTTTAATGCAATAAACAATAACCTGAAATCACAGAGCAAACTAAAAACACTGGAAAAACTTCTTTATATTAAAGCCATTCTGAATCTATAACCAAACTCCGCATTGCTTTTTTTGCAAATTTGTTTGCAGTCCCAAAAAATTTATGAACAATGAAGTGTTACAAAGTCAGAGGTGAGGCTGTAACGTTACTCTCCCGTCTTAGTTCTCTGAGGTCCGTACCTTGACGGCAACACTGAGCTGATGTGGCATATACTCACATCGGAGAGCCCAGCAGTAGTGGAACAGTGGTCTTAAGCAAAAACTACAAGAGTACACCCCCTGCCTTAACTTGTTTTCTTGGTGTTTGTTGTTGTTGTTTTAAAAACATTTGCATTGTAACAGAAGACACTTAAAACCGAATTGTAAGCAAACAAGGCTCATGGACTTAGGCCACACTCAGTACATAAGACTTACCTGTGAGGTTCATTTTGAGGGGGCTTATTGTTGGGCTTCCCTTTTATTTTTGTGCATAATAAGCTAACGGAGAACGTTTAGTTTACAGTTATGCATTCAAGAACTGCCGTAATAAAAACACGAGGCAGTAAGCCCAGTATTGGATGTCTGCATATTGTCTGGGAGCATATTGTCTCCCACCCCGCATCAATTTCTGTGAGTTTCTATGAAATTACTCTTATATAAAAGCGTACATTAAGTTATATGCTGATCACTCCAAAATTCAGGGCATCAAAATACAAACGCCTTATAACCGGTTGCCAACAAAAGCAGATAAAGGATTTGCCAGAAACCCACCTCGCCCAGTATCCGACCGGCTGGCACAGATACTTCTGAGAAAGCGACGGACAGAAATAAAACAAAACGCCCCCCAGACTGTATTTAACCCCGGTCTCTAGAAAATCAGAGCCCTGAAGCACGAGCCCTAGCAGTCCACCTGGAAGAAGCTTTTGTTATAATTAACTAGATAACAAGAACATCCAGGGCGTCCATACTGAGGGCGCACCGACCACCCTCTCGACCCCGCTGCTAAGGGGGGCAAGAAGAAAAAGCCCAAACTTACCTTTTTTACAAAACTTTTTTAATGCCATCGTATTATTGATTTCCCCCCCCACCCCTTCCAGACAGATCGTGTTTCACCCCTTCCCTTTGGCGGTTTTATCGCTGTTTCTCAGAGGCCGCTCCTGCCCCGGGAGGGGCACTCACCCGCCGCACCCGTCGAAGCAC